GAGCTGTTCAGAACTGGTTGGCCATATAGGGCCCTTGGCTTCCTCGGCGGTCTCCCTTCCAAGCACTCACCAGGGCTGACCCTGCTTAGCTTCCGAGATCTGACGTGATCGGGCTAACCTGGGCCAGCCAGGTGAGGGCAAGAGATGAGCAGAGGCGCTTTGCCATTGCCCACCTCTGCATGGCAACCCTGGAATTCCTTGGCAGTCTCACATCCAAATACTAACCAGGGCCGACCCTGCTTAGCTCCCAAGACCAGGCTAGCCTGGGCCAATGTAATCAGCATGATTACGTGGGCCGTCCTACTCAGTGGTCACATGATAATGTATCTTTATTTCTTTAGATAATCATTACACCCTGCTTTTCTCCTCAAGGGGGATCCAAAGCAGGCGACCTCATTCTTCTCCGTCCCATCCTTTTATCCTCGCAGCAAAAACTTTGTGAAGTCAGGCGAGCTGAGAAAGTGTGGCTGGCCCAAGATTACCCAGCAAGCTCTGTGGCAAAGTGGAGATGTGATCTTAGTCGGACACTCTAACCACTACAGTTCTCATTGAGATCCTAGCAACACCCATCAGTGGACCCAGCATCATCAGCCAGACCAATTCAGGACCAAGAGTTTGGTGTAGTGGTTAAGTGCGCAGACTCTAATCTGGGAGAACCGGGTTTGATTCCCCACTCCTCCACTTGCACCTGGCTGGATGACCTTGGGCAAGCCATAGTTCTGATAAGAGCTGTCCGTGAAAAAGAGCAGTTTCTGTCAAGAGCTCTCTCAGCCCCACTCCTCCACTTGCACCTGCTGGATGACCTTGGGCAGGCCATAGTTCTGGCACAGCTGTTCTTGAAAAAAGAGCAGTTTCTGTCAGAGTTCTCTCAGCCCCACCTACCTCACAGGGTGTCTGTTGTGGGGAGGGGAAGGGAAAGGAGATTGGAAGCCGCTCTGAGACACCTTTAGGTAGTGAAGGGCAGGGTATAAATCCAGTCTCTTCTTCTTCTTCTTCTACCCCTGCTCATCCTCTAATATGATTTATGCCGTCACGTATCAGCAGTGCCCTTCCACCCTCCACACTGGACAAACAATTCTTCAACAAAGAATTAATGGACATAAGTCTGACATTAGGAACCACGACATTCAAAAACCAGTGGGGGAACATCTTCACCTTCAGAAGATTCAGTTGCTGACCTAAGAGCAGCTGTTCTCTTACAAGGGAATTTCAAGGGGATATTATAAAGAGAGACTGCTGAGTTGCAACTGATAATGAAGCTCAAGACAACGCATCTAGCTGGACTGAATCGAGACCTAGGTTTCCTGTCTCATTACCAATGCCGGTTTCTCCATGCCGTTGACCCCTCTGCGTATCACACCTAATCCAATCACACCTGCTATTGTCATTCACCTGCTATTATCATTTGCCTGCTAATGTAATTCGGCATCTGAAATCACTCCACTTTCCAATAATTAGGGCAGATGGACCCACATTGAGCTACGTGGACCAATAGTCTGACTCTGTGTAAGGCAGTAGAGAAGAGCCAGAGTCCAGTAGCACCTTAAAGACTAACAAAATTTGTGTCAGGGGAGGAACTTTTGGAAGTCACGGCTCACTTCTTCGATATCTGCACAACCATTCAGACCTCCAGTAGCCGAACGGAAGCCCCACCTGGGTCAGGGTCAGATACTTGAAGAAGTGAGCCGTGACTGACGAAAGCTCCTCCCCTGCCACAAATTCTGTTCGTCTTTAAGGTGCTCCTGGACTCTTGCTCTTTTCTCCTGCTACAGACAGACGGGCACGGCCACCCATCTTGATCTGTGTAAGGCGGCTTTATAAGTTCAGCCGTAGAAGGGAGGGAGCAGTTGACATATTTGGGGAACATGCATGCTGGCCGATAGCAAGCTTTCTGGTCCCCTGATTTTAAACCTGATTAATTTTGAAAAGCAGGATAAATGATGTATTGTTCAGCAAATGACCTGCCTAACAAATGGAGGAGAGGAAGGGGGGGGGATTTCTACCCCGCCCTTCACTTGGAGTCTCAGAGCGGCTCACAGTCTCTTTTCCCTTCCCCTCCCCACAACAGTCACCCAGTGAGGGAGGTGGGGCTGAGAGAGCTCTTTCAAGGACTGCTCTTGAGCAAACAGCTCCAAGAAAACTTATGACTGACCCAAGGTCACACCAGCAGCTGCATGTGGAAGAGTGGGGAATCAAACTGAGTTCTCCCAGATTAGAGTCCGTGCTCCTAACCACTACACCAAACTGGCTCTCAAATTGAAAATGTTGGCACTTGATGGGGAGCTACATCCTGGCTCCCTTAGAGGACGTTAGCGTGCACGCATTGCAATTGTGCCTCAGATCTTCAGGGTGTGCCTAAACACTCTGTGAAGAAACCCTAATGTTTCTTGTGCCTGCTAAGGGTGCAAATGATTTTATTGCAGCTACCGTAATGACATGCCCGCGGGGGTAGGGCATTGCAATTAGGAGCGTGGAAGGTGTAAGTATGTGTTCTTTGCATTAGGGTGGTTCCGGTTACGAAGTCAGCAATGTAGATCTGTCAGCAGGAAGCCTGGGCTGAATCATGAACCGAAGGTTAACCTTCACTTGATGTAACGATAGCCACCTGAGCAGCCCAGCTCAGCCAGAGTTCATCAGAACCTGGAAGCTGAACAGAGTCAGCTCCAGTTAGTACTTGGATAATGACCACCCAGGAAGACCTGGTTTGCCAAGCAGAGGAAGGCAACGGCAGACCTCCTCGGGTCATCTCTTGCCTGGAACACCCCTTGGGCAGTGTCGCTGTGGATCGGTTGTGACTCGACAGCAGGCTCTTCTCGATCTGATGACACGACGTTGTCATCATCGTCACAGCCTTTATTGGCACATATCGGAGTACAGGTGGAAGCCTGGTATGAGGAACAATATAAATAAATTATGAAGTCTTAAAACTTGCCGAGGACATATAAAGTATTAAGCTGCTAAGATATGCAGAATTCTGACCACTATTTCAATAATATAAGGTGTAATACATAAGCTGTCTCCTGCCAACCTAGCAGTTCGAAAGCAAGAAATTGCAAGTAGATAAATAGGGACCACTTTGGTGGGAAGGTAACAGCGTTCTGTGCGCCTCGGTGTTTAGTCATGCCGGCCACATGACCATGGAAACGTCTCTGGACAGCGCTGGCTCTTCGGCTTTGAAACGGAGATGAGCACCGCAACCCTAGAGTCGGATTCAAGTGGCTTTCGAGCAAGGGAACCTTTACCTTTACATAAGCTGTAACAAATAGGCAGGCTAATTTGTAATAGATGTAATTTGTGCATTGAGTGAAATGCCCCCATTTGTGTTTGTATGTTTGTTTGTTTGTGTGTTATGAAAAATAATTTCCCCCCGGAATATAGGTAGAAGCAATAAACAGATAAGGGAGGTGACAAGGAAAAATGAGTCAGTCATATGCAACTAGGCATGACGCAATCGATCCTTGATTACCAGACTTGGGAATAAGGCTGCCTTTTCAGTTATTTCAGGTGATGAATCATTCAGAAGATGGTGCACCTTCAAAGATATTTAGTGATTTAGGTCACATGCACAAAGTCTTGTTGGGTATGGAATCCTATTATATCTGCCAGAAGTAACTGCAGATGGAATGGTGTTGCATCTAGCAAATGCAAATGCTCGGCGCAAGTGTGAGGCATGGAGAGCTGATAAATAAGAAGGTGAATGGCCCACAGTTGGAAAAAATTCCAAAATTTAAAGGGGAGCAGGGTTTATTTGCATCACTGACAAATTTTTGCATTTCAGTGTCTAGGATTCTATGTTTGATTAACGTGGATTTGTGAAAGGGAGCATATATAGGGAACCCACATCACGCCAACCCCTCTCACGATACGATGTCACTATAAAAATGATCTGAAGCAGGGTTCTCCAACGTGATGCCCATGGGCACAGGGCAGACTCCTTTTCTGGTGCCCGCCAAGTGTTTTTGGAAACTGGGTGGGGCTGGGTGGGGTTTCTGATCGGCTATTGGATGTCTGGGTGGTTGTGCAGATTAAAATAACATTGCTTCAGTGGCAGCTGCTCCCACAGTGTTGATATTATTCTCCCATTCCTCTTTCCCCAATGTGTTTTGTTTTTAATTACCCCTCTTCTCCGCCGCACTTAGGCCTCTTCTGTGTAGTTGGCCCCGCCTCCTGTGGCAGCAGCCTTTTTGTGATTGGCTCTGCCACCCTGTGTCAGAATTCCAGAGGCGCTCGTAGGCTGAAAAAGTTTGGGGACTCCCGGTTGACACACGGCCTTCTTGGCATAATTGTTCAGCTCATAGACATGCCTTAGCTCTGGGGTGTTGAACTCATTTGTTTGGATCTGGGCCGGATCTGACATAAATGAGACCTTGTTGGGCCGGGCCATGTGTGTCATAAAATGTAACACCAGGTAGCGAAGATACAAACTTTATAAAGGACACAAACACAAAGATATTTTTTTTACTCAAAATAAAAACATGCTTAAAACATTAGCACTCTTGCAATATTTTGTGTATTTAACACTGTCAGATAACTGACACCTCTTGCTCTGAATTATTGCATCAAAATGTCTGTGCTGTTGCAATCTTGAGTATGCTGTTCAGGTGTGTACCTGTAAGCTGCAAACCTACTTTTGATTTATTGACATTCACCACAGAAATCCCATGTAATCAGAGTTCTGGGTCTAGGACCCAGGGGAAAACATGAAATGGCTGAGTGATTGAGAGAGCCTGGCAAAGCAATCTATGATGCAGCAGCAGCAGCAACAGAACTGGAAGCAGGAGATGGCCAGTTCCAGTGCGGGCCTGACGGAAGCCCTCCGGGGGCTTAATCTGGCCCCTGGGCCTTAAATTTGACACCCCTGCCTTAGCTTCTAGTGAAATCTCGGCTTTCGTTCTTTAAAAATCGTTTCGCTGTTAGGTCTCATTGACATGGAGAAACTGCAATGTTCTTTCACGGCAGAAAGTTTTCCTGACTATGCCCCCCTCCCCCTTTGTTCCCAGTGTTACCCACGGTAGGTGTTCCCTCGTCCACGAGTGCCCTGAGAACGGTCAAGACGCAGCCGGCTACCGGGAAGCCCACGAGTCTACCCAGCATGAACGTGACTTCTCCAACAGTGCCTCCTCCCGTGGCGGCAGGCCATACCACTCCCGCAGCCACCGAACTCCCGCCCACCACGACCGTCAGCACATCAGGAACGGAAGCGACGACTGTGCGGGTGCCGGTGCCTCCCTCCCTTCTGCCAAATGTCACCTCTCCGAGTTCGTACGGGATCACTACGGGCACAGATGGGGTGCCCACGGAGGCCAACGTCACAGGAGTGCTAACGACTTTGAAAGCCTTCGGCACCTCGGGTATGAAAGAGCTTTCCTATATTTCATTGGTTCCAATGCATGTATTTATTTACTTATTTATCTGCTTCATTTATATCCCACCTTTGTCTTCAACGGGGCCCCAAAGTGCCTTGCATTTGTCTCCACTCCTCTGTTTTATTCTCACAACAACCCTGTGACGTAGGTTAGGCTGAGAGTATATGGCTGGCCCAAGGTCACCCAGTGAGGTTCCATGGAAGAGCAGGGACTCGAACCTGGGTCTCCCAGATCCTAGTCCACCCCCCTCAGCCACGGCACCACGCTGGCTCTCGTATATCATCTCACTCATTATGTGCTTTTAGCAGCTCCCGTTTCTCTGTGCCTGAAGGGGTCTCAAAGCAGCTTCCAATTGCCTTCCCTCCCTCTCCACACAACAGACACCCTGTGAGAGTGGGGCTGAGAGAATCCTGAGAGAACTGGGACTGGCCCAAGGTTACCCAAAGGGTTCTCTGAATCTCGTCAGATCTCGGAAGCTAAGCAGGGTCGGCCCTGGCTAGTGTTTGGATGGGCGACCTCCAAGGAATACCAGGGGCATGACGCAGAGGTAGGCAATGGCAGACCACCTCTGAAACGTCTCTTGCCTGTCAAAGAAGTCTAGCCTGCAACCTAGTGGTACATAGTGCTAAAAGAGCAAGAGCTTGTGGCTGCCAGACTGTCTTAGGATCTCCTGGCTATACTACCCACAATGCCATACGATGATGACGATAGATAATCATCACCACCACCACCACCCCCAGTGGGCTTCACGTGGAGGAGTGGAGAATCCAACCCAGTTCTCCAGATTAGAGTCAGCCACTCTAGATTAGAGTTAACCGCTACACTGCACTGGCTCACCATGCTGGTGAAGGGGCTTAATGGCTTGAGCCACCTTGGACAACGCAGCTTGCTCTATCCTGTGCAGCTTGTTCACCTGGGCACGGTGTTTGGAGCGACAACAGCATGGCGTACTGGTCAGAGTGTTGGGAGTAGGAAGCAGGAGATGCAGGCTGAAATCCTTACTCTGCCACGGAAGCTCTCTGGGGGACCTTGGGCCTGTCACAAACTCTCAGCCTAACCTACCCCACAGGGTTGTTGCGAGGAAAAAATGGCAGAGAGGAGAATTACGTAAGCCACCTTGGGTCCCCCTTGGGGAGAAAGATGGGGTATCAGTGAAGGGTATAAATAAATAGATTATATTGGAAGGGGATGCAGGGAGGATCCTGCTTTAGGGAACAGAACTAGACAAGTCGGCGCTCGATTTGGTCCAGCCTTGAAATTTCTTTCTGACCAGGGCCGGCTCACTCACTAGGCGAACTAGGCGATTGCCTAGAGCGGGATGGCCCTTGGGGGTACCAAACTGCACCCGGCCCCGTACTCTGGGAGTTTCTTGATTATTTGTGTTTTTTATTCTTCCTAAAATGCATTTCTTTTTGAAAATTGGTGGGCGCACGGGGTGGGGAGGCATAAGGGATCCTCGACTAGGGTGCAAAATAAGCTGGAGCCGGCCCTGTTTCAGACTCCAGCTGCCCGCTCTGTAATTTATGTAAATCCACAATCGCCTGGAGCTGCCTTATACTGTAAAGTCACAGGTATTTTTTTGTGTAGTCCAGACTGACTGTTCCAGAATGAGCGTCGCTTTGGGGCTCTGGTCTTATGGTCATTTAGGGCATTCCCGGGCTGCTGGAGCACAGATGCAAAGTTAATAAATCCATTATGAACATTGCAAGTGTGGGGTTTTCTCCCTTACTAACGTGGACCCTAATTGCCACACCGTAATTAAATGCGCATGCCGAAGGGATGCCAGATCGCCATCCGTTTACTGCTCATCGTTCGCCCGTGGATAGAAGGATTCAAACGGAATCAGCTTGCGAAGGTATCACCACGGTAGTCTTGCCATGCCTTCAACTCCACCCCATTCTCCAAAAAAAGGGGTAACGAAAGGAGAGTGTTTGGGTTATTCCTTTTTCTTTTGAAAGCCTACAAAGAGACCATTTGTAAAACGTTGATCAGTGGCCTGAATCTTCAGTTTCTGAGGGTAGCCATGTTATTCTGCGGTAAAACAGTGTCATGGGGGAGGGAGGAGGCGGGTCGTCGCCTAGGAAATTAGCATATCTGAGAGAAAGGTATGGCTAAAAGAGACCCCCTTTCTGCCACACTGCCCTTATTCATTTAATCTATTTTTATTTACGTATTTAATTTATACCCCGCCCTCCCCGCCGAGGCAGGCTCAGGGGAGCTTACACAAATGAATATATAGATAACAATTAAGATCCACACAAAGTCATCCCAAAACAGTATCATAAGGTGCTAGCGATAATTAATTAATTACTTGGCGATGGCGTACTGTATGAGTGCATACAAAGGTCTAACTAAATGTTCTGCTCAATGCTCTTCTTGATACGAGCGACAGCACAGGCTGTAGATGTCAAAGCCAAGGGCCAGGGCTCTATAATTAGGATCGTTGGTGATAATAGTGGCGGCAGCTCCTTAGTTAAAGGCCTGGTGGAAGAGCTCCGTCTTGCAGGACCTGCGGAACTGTAGAAGATCCCGCAGGGCCCTGATCTCTTCTGGGAGCTCGTTCCACCAGTATGGAGCTGCCACTGAGAAGGTCCTGTTTGTTGACATTATTCACCAACACTCAAGGTGGATCACACAGGATGTGTCAATGAAGTCTACAGGATGAGGCATCTGATGAGCCATGTAGAAAGCCTAGTAAATCTCTGAATCCCATTGCCAGGGGTCAACGCAGTGGAGGACCTTGGCCTGTTGTGTACGGTTGCCAGCTCCGGGCCGGGAAACACCTAGAGATTTTTGGGGGTCAGGTTTTTAATGGGGAGGGACCCCAGCGGGGTACAATGTGATGCAAGTCTGAGGTCAGGCAGGCAAAAGGCCTGTTGTGTACGGTTGCCAGCTCCGGGCCGGGAAACACCTAGAGATTTTTGGGGGTCAGGTTTTTAATGGGGAGGGACCCCAGCGGGGTACAATGTGGAGTTCACCCTTCAGAGCAGCCATTTCCCGACTCTAAAATAGAGACTTTATTATACTAACAAATGTCTAAAGACTGAAGAAGAATGGTAACAACAATTCTTACAATCAATGTTACAACTATAGCAGTTACATTTGAATGATCACCTTTGTTAATATTATTCACCTGGAAGCCCGTCTCTGTGGATTGTCATACACCAGAGCCAACGTTCCCTCTAAGCTGTGGAGTCTTGTGAGCAAAAATTCTACTCTGTGAGCGACTGGCATTCAAGTTGTGAGCGAGCGATTTGGCTGCTGCATCAGTTAGTTGGCTCTGGAGCCCTCCTTCCTGAGCAAAGACAAAAATGCATGAGCTGGAGGCTGAAAAACGGTGAGCTAGCTCACACTAACTCAGCTTAGAGGGAACACTGCACCAGACCGTGAACCCTTCCAGGGTCCCATGTTATCATGTGGGATTGTCCTTTTTGTGAAATGGTACATTGACTGATACAACAGACACGATTGATAAAGACCTCGAAACAAGGTCACATCCGGAATCCTTGTCTCATGATAAAAAAATTATTGATTCCACGGCCGCATACAGAGTCCGGAGCCGCGTTACTTGTGCAATGTTTACATCGCCCCTGCAACTGTTTACACTACATGGCTCCTTTTGTGGGCAGTTTAACGTTTTGAGCTGGATTTCATCTACGATTCTTCATTGGATGTTTATGTTGTAACATTGATCGTAAGATTTATTGTCACCATTCTTGTTGGGTCTTTAGACATTTGCTAGTATAATAAAGTTTCTATTTTAGAGCATCTTAGGGCTACACTCCCATCTGGAGGTTGGCAATCTTACCTCTGTGCCATGTAGTTCCCCCCCCCCCCAC